TCACGAATCTCTGTACTTTTGTACGTACAAGCAAACAAATTAATACAGAGTCTCTAGGTAAAGTTGGGAGCGTGGCATAATTAAATTAAGCTACATCAAACAGTACATCAGCCTTTTAATCAGATTATGTAGGTACTAGAGGAGGTGGATTGTTTGCCTCTTCTATTTTCATACTCTTCTCATGGTTCTTTATTTGTGTGATCACTGATTAAACCACAGTCAACATTTTCTATTCCTATTACTTTTTGTTTTATTATTTCTATAAAAAAATTAATATAAAATATTGACGTGACTTAACCTTGACCACACATCACAGGAGAGCATGACGAGAGTATGGAAATGAGAGGGCAGACAATCCACCTCTGGAACTGGAGGGCTGTCTATCCGTTTATGTATGATAAAAAAAATTGTAGTTAAATTTCATTATATCTTTAACCAAAAAAAAAAGAGTATACTAGATAATTGTCCGTGTATATAGCCACCCAAAACAATTCGATCTTATCACTTGAAGGGTGATCCGGCTATATGTCATAGTGGATTGAACTGTACGTAATATATTGAGATTCATTTATTTCAATCTCGAATTTGACATCCATGATAATTTCTCGGGGCACCATTTATTTTCTTTGAACAAACAGGACAACATTTATTAGAATCTAGAAACCGTGGGTTCCATTCTTTGAGACATGTCATAGTGGATTGAAATAGAAACTTAGTCCGCACTCACCACTTGTGTTGAACTTTCCACATAGAAATTTCATGCTCCTTGTGTCGAACATTGCACAAAGAAATTTTATGCTCCAAATTATCCATTTCTAAGTCACCATTCATGAAACATGCTAAGGAGATCCCTCAACTCTCAAGTGAAACTCTTCATGTACTCTTCGTTAGCTCATCTTTTTGGTATATTGTTTTATAATGTTGGCACGAGAATTGTGTCACAAATATAAAGTAGCAGAAAGTCTATGAAGAATCCCACTTTTGAGAGAATCTTCCTAGCATTTCTACACCATTCATTGATCATCTTTGTAAAAATATACTCAAATTGAAATCTTTTCACCCTTATATTGTGAAAATCTTAGTGGTTGTCAAATCATAATTAGATAATTAAATATGAAAGTGATTTTTAGGATGGTTGTTGGAAAAATATCGGCCTAGGACTCTTATCACGTGGCGTACCCTAGGGTTTGATGGTCTTGGATAACGATGAGATAAGAAGCCTAGATAGGCTAGGCCTTTTTACATGGTGATGGATGTTGTCAGATGTGTTTAAAGGTCATTGATGGAGTTTTGATGATGAGATAAGAAGCCTAGGTGGGCTAGGCTTCTGATATGATGTGATAAGCCAAGATAGGTTTTTATTTTGTTTGAAAAGTCATGAATGGGAAGGATAGATACCGATCAGTCTTTCTTCCTAGAGTTTGAGTTGCGCTTGAACACCATCAGGCCATGCCAAGCAAATACCAACCCTATAAATACAAGACTTTGTGCATCGAAAAAAGCCCCTCCAATTCAACACACAAATTACCTTGCGCAAACCTCTTAAACATCTTGAGATTTTTATTTTCTTTTTTTCGTCAACACATCTTCAGTTTGGATAAACAGCATTGGAGCCGTAGAATCAGCCGATCGAGGCAGCACTGGAGCTGTAGAATCATCTAACTGAGGAGCACTTTCAGTTTGGATAAACAACATTGCTTCGAGACCAACTAGTTATTTATCCAAGTCTCGGTCGACAAGGATTTTCGAGTCCTTGTTGGTAGAGGTCATCTCATCAGCTTTCTCGGCGAAGTGAGATGTTACAGGTTACCACGTTCGACACATTGAAATCCTAATTTGATATTGAACTTCGCAGAGTTAGCAACCTTGTCTTCAGGCTCTACAACCAGAAGGTCGAGACGTGTTCATTCCTCGGCCGCAGTCGCAAGATCAAGAAGTCAACAGCACGCTCAACGCGACATCAACATATTTTACGCCCCAGGACGTAGTTAGCTTATTAATTACTCGACTTGCGCGCCACATAGGCTTGGTAGTTTTTTAGGGTCAACACATACATAGCTATCTTCATTTGTCTAGTTGATTGAATTCACACATCACATATAACCAAATTTTTAGGATTCTTTAGATATAAACTCTTGTAACTCTTATTGTCTAGACAAAAACCCACCTTATATTAAACATTCAAATAAAACCCAAAATTCAAATAGTCTACCATGTTGGCAAATAAATGACATATTCTTATAAAATATTTACAACTTATGCCACAATGCCCTAAATATGTCAATAAATATTATTATTACTCACCTTTAATTATGCCAATGAGCAATGAGCTTCTTTTTTAAAACCACGTATTCCAAATATAAATAATATCTATAACTACTAATCTATCTACATATAAATTAATTAACCTAAATTCCTTTAAAACAAACTAATTTATCTATATTTTAATACAAACTAATTTACCTCTATTTTTAAAACTCACTAATTTACCTAATTCCTTTTGTTACAAGCTAATTTATCTGCATTTTTATAGTACGTACTAATTCACTAATGTAGTTATTAATTTACCTATATGAACAATACTCATATAATTTACTTATAATATCCAAAGTAATTATATACATTTTTTTTATTTACAATATCACGCCTATGGGGCAGGTAAATTATTTTTACAGTATTTCTATTCTAAGTATATGTACAAGAATTTATCAATAATAGCCAAAATTTAACACTCACTTTCATAAATGTCACTTTTTATAAAATCTTTCAAATATAACAGAAAATTCACATGAATAGACCTAAATGCCCTCAAAATCCAAAACCCATTTACACATAAAAACCAAAACAATTGAATAGACTCATCTACATCTCCCTTATGATGCCCGGATACTTTAGTGTGGTTGCATATCCCATATGCGATACTTTTCGGAAATGATACTTGCAGGATACTCTTGGCTACTTGCTGGATACGTATCATGGTTAATGGATACACTTTAACTGGATGGATGTCACATCCCGGCCCGGGGCGGATCACTTCCCAGGCCCGCTTCCACTACCGTAGCACGATATTGTCCGCTTTGGGCTTACCATTCCCTCACGGTTTTGTTTTTGGGAACTCACGAGCAACTTCCCAGTGGGTCACCCATCATGGGATTGCTCTAGCCCCCTTCTCGCTTAACTTCGGAGTTCCTACGGAACCCGAAGCCAGTGAGCTCCCAAAAGGCCTCGTGCTAGGTAGGGATGGGAATATACATTTAAGGATCGCTCCCCTGGGCGATGTGGGATGTCACAATCCACCCCCCTTAGGGCCCGACGTCCTCGTCGGCACATTTCCGGCCAGGGATAGGCTCTGATACCAAATTGTCACATCCCGGCCCGGGGCGGATCACTTCCCGGGCCCGCTTCCACTACCGTAGCACGATATTGTCCGCTTTGGGCTTACCATTCCCTCACGGTTTTGTTTTTGGGAACTCACGAGCAACTTCCCAGTGGGTCACCCATCATGGGATTGCTCTAGCCCCCTTCTCGCTTAACTTCGGAGTTCCTACGGAACCCGAAGCCAGTGAGCTCCCAAAAGGCCTCGTGCTAGGTAGAGATGGGAATATACATTTAAGGATCGCTCCCCTGGGCGATGTGGGATGTCACAATGGATACACGTATCCCACTTTGGGAAACAAGTATCATGCTTTTAGAATACTTTTACACTTTCAAATAAAATATTAATAAGAGACAAAGCTTTATTTGAAATCAGTGAATATGAATTATGAAGAGCAACCTCTAATTGAAACTATGAATACAACTGTCATCCTTCTTTTATATATACCAGGGGAATTAGAATTCCAACTTTTCTTCTCCAATAAATCAAATGAACTTGAATTTGAATGATCTTGTGTTATCAAAATATGTTCTAAATAATATTTTTATCTTTGTTTATTATTATATAAATTTAATTGTTGTATCTATCGCGTATCATATCCTACTTTTTAGAGATTTTTCATATCGCCGTGTCATGTTGTATCGTATTGTCATATCCGTGTCCGTGTTTTACAGATCATCCCCAAATTTCAACCTCTTTTTGATGTTGAGTTGGGAAATAATTTGGGGAGCTAGGAATTCAATATTTTGAAATGGAAAGATGGAAGCTCCAAACGTCTTTGTATCATGTACCACCTCCCTATGGTTTGGTTTTGTCTACAGCAACTCAAACTCCTCCAAGCATAGACCCTCTACTCTTCTGTTTCGTCTCAGCTTTGGACTCTGAATTTCATTGACATCAAAATTTTTGTTGGTGGTACTACTACGGTCTAGACATTTTTGCTCGCGTTGTTTCTTACTCCTCTTTTAAGTCTTTCTTTTCTTCTCTTCTTGGTGACATGGAGTTTCTCAACTGAGGACTTCTTTTTGTTTCAATTTACAATTGATTTGACATCATGAAATGTGCCTCTCATTTTTCCTTAATTCTAATCTAATAGGGTGTTGTCTCTTATGTTTATTTGGGTTTAATTATAAGGGTATTTAAGTCTATTTAAGTGGTTTTTCTGCTATATTTGAAAGAATTTATAAAAAATGATATTTATGAAATTGAGTGTTAAATTTTGGCTATTATTGATAAATTCTCTGAATATACTAACATATAAATAGGGCAAATTATTTCCTATGAAAAGAAAAAAAAAATAGATACATTATTTTATATAATTTTTTTGACACAAATTATTTGTCTATGTTTCAAACGGAAAACACCATAATATTTTTATTTATATTACCCCTTGGTGATTGTTGGTAAAAAAAAATATGAGAAAAGAAGCCTAATCAAATAATAGGTTAGCTGACATTTAATTGCATTGAAAACAATAAAATGCAACAATTAATTATTAATCATAAGTCAAACCAAATGCACGTTACATTCTATGAGGGTATTTTAGGAACACGAAGATTATAAAAACTGATATATCAAGCTTGTTAAGAAAATTTGTTTAATTGGACTCTAATTAATGGGTTTTAGTCTGAAAAAATAGAATGCATTATGAGTCACATTTTACACCACAAATATCATATATAGTTTGCATTATTGACGTTTATTATTATTATTATCCATAAACATTTTCGGATAAGCGAGGTTTGACGAGGACTCGAAGTGGGGTGGATTTCACGTTCGATAGCCCCAGGCTCCCAGTCATATCAACAACTGCATTTTCTGGAGTTGAGATGTCATAAGCATGCAAAAAACTAGCCAGGGTTAACTGTATGACTTGAAGAGCAAAACCCATTCCAGGGCATATTCGTCTACCACCACCAAAGGGAATGAGCTCAAAATTGTGACCCTTCACATCGATATCCTTGTGGGTGGTAAGAAATCTCTCCGGCTTAAACTCCATCGGATCAACCCAAACCCGGGGGTCACTCTGGATCTTCCATAGGTTCATCATCAACCAAGTGTCCTTTGGGACATGGTATCCTCCTATTGTGCAGTCCTCGCTGAATTTTCTTATGCCAGAGAGTGGTGCCGGTGGGTACATACGCAGCGTTTCTTTGAAGATGGCTTGCAAGTACTCCAGGTTACTGATGTCTGATTCATTCACTAGCCTTCCTCTCCCAACATGCTTGTCTAGTTCTTCTTGAGCTTTCACCAAGGTGTGACGGTTGTTCAAAAGTAGCGAGAGTGCCCATGTCATAGTCACCATGGGTGTGTCACTGCCCCCAGCAATCACGGCCTGAAACATTATAATTTCAATTAGGATACTCTATACAATTTAAAAACTGATAATTGCAATTTATAGATATGAATTCAATGTTATCATTCAAATTAATTTAGAGAATATGTATCTACATACCAAACATGTCGCTTTGTTGACTGTATCAGCGTCAAATCCTACAACATCTGCTCCATTGAGGATTGAAAGCATTACATCCATGAAATCCTGCTCTTGGCCTTGAGTTCTTCTCTGCTTGTGCTCCTCCAACCATTCCACAACAATACTATCTATCTCTTTCGCTGTTCTTCTCATCGCTTTCTCGTGCCCACCTATATCTAGCCGCCTAAGCCACGGAACAGCATCCCCCAACACAAACAATCCCATGTAGTGAAACATATCCCTTATGACGTTTTGGCACCGCCGCGCCTTCTTTTCGTCGCTCAAACTACCACTCATAACGTTGAAGTAACGCTTTCCAGCAACCATTCGAAACACCACATTTAGTGTCAAATCCCCGAACCACTCCTTCATCTCCACCAAAATTTCTCCTGAGCCTCCTTTTCTTTTGATCCACAGCTTGTACAACTCTTTCAAGCTCATCTCTACTTCGGACACTCGAACATGTTTGAGCAGCTCCAGCCTGCTGTTTGAGAGTAGCTCGTGGGTTGCTATTTTCCGTATTTCACGCCAATACGGACCATAGGGGCTATACGCCACCAAGGCTCCGTTGTAGCTCAAGTGTTCAACGCCTACGATTTTGGGACGGGAGGAAACAGCCAAGTCATTGGTGGTGAAGCACTCCTTCGCCGCCTCCCAACAATTTACCACAAGGGCTGAGTTGAGGCCCACATTTATGGAAAAAACCGGTCCATACTTGTCCACCAAGCGTCCCAAAAGTATATGGGGAAGCTCGGGTCCTGCCAACAAGTGGATGTGCCCTAACAGAGGCCATCCACCCACAACCTTCGGTGCTTTGGGAAGCGAGGCAGCAGCTCTAGACTTCCTGTTTATGATCAAGTAGGAAAGCACAAGTATGGCAAAGATTCCAGCTACGGCAGTATTTAGGTATGGGAGATGGAATTCCATTGTTGCTGGAAGGATCAGTTATCTGTGGCTTTTTGGAGAATGGCTAATCGTACAACTTCTTTATCAATGTAGTGTTTGTTTGTAAACTGTATCCATCAGTAATAATGTATTTACATCACATCACCATTTACTAATTAACTTCTGGAAGGACCAGTTATCACTTCAGAATAGACATATTCAATTATTGTAGTATGGTTACCTTCAGTTACCTACGAATTTAGACTTTGAGATACGGAAACATAAGATTCGTGGCTGAAATTTTGATGACTCACGTGGAGAGCTGATCACCATTTAAAATATGGAAAAGCATAGAGCAAATGGAGATAGTATTTAAAATTTCTTTCATACGTTTAATATTTCTAAGAAAATATAAAATAAAATAAAAAATTTGAGACATATATAGAAATAAGGGATGAAGTCTAAACTTTATCTATATCAGAAGAACTTTTAAGTTTAGGTTAAAATCGATAGATATTACCAATATTTTTGACACATGTGTTAAATATCAGAGAAACTCTTATTTCGTCCAAACCAATGTTTGACAACCTTAAAGTTTTATTTTAAATTTCCATTATTTTAATCAAAAGCAACCAATATTGATATCGATATATCTGTTGATATTTTCACGGATACTGATATTTTAAATACTAGTTGGAGGATGGCAAGGACAAAGCAAGGGCAAGGCAATTGTCCCTTTGCAAAGTAATTGTCTTTGTCCAACTCCACCCATTTGACAAGGCGATTACTATTCACAATTTTTTTTTTTAATGTCTTATACATGTGAACTTTGTAAGTTTATTCTTTAAAAAATAAAATTTCATACTTAACTCCAATGATTTAATTTCAAATACAAAGCAAAGTATAGCTTTACAACAAGTATAATTAATTAAAAATAAAAGTCTAATGAAGAAAGTGGTTGGATATTTATATATTTTTTTTCTTTTTTTCTTTTTAACGGTAAGATTAATCCTGACAGTTTGATTTTTCTTATAATCAAATCTGACGTGCCACAATGTGCCATGTGGCATAATCGTAACTTTATCACTTTTTTTTTTTTTTTTTTTTTAACCGTTAAATAAAAGTCCAGATCATAAGGTTCTTGGGTTCTTTAGTTGAAGCTGCTGCAGCGAGTCGCAAGATACCAGACGTTGTTGGCCCACTCACCGAGATGCACGGTATTACACGCGCCAGAAATAACATATAGCAGAACGTGGCTGGCGGAAGGCCGGGCTTGATTAGGGGCAATTGGGCGGGCTTGTTGTGGCCCACGAATTGCCATCCTTCTTTTAACCCGCTCGAGGTGGTTTCTGAAGTTAGAGGGCAACTGAGACGCCCTCGCCTTTGCCCTTGGAAATGGATGGAATTGCTCTTATAGTTGCAGCTGGCAGGATCGATCGGAAATCAAACTGTTAAACCACTTTATTGAGTGAAGACTTTAATCATTTTGTTTTGAACTTTTATCGTCTAACAAAGTTTGATTTTATAGTGAAACTTTAATTTTTTTAATGGTATTAGAGTAAAGTGTTCCGCGTGTAAAGCTTGACACTCATACGTGCTCTATGTCTTCCGATTTCTGTTATCTATGTGTTAAACTTAAAAATTCGTCACACATGAGAATACGTGTTAAGAGTATCAATCTCACCTAAAAATAAAAAATAAAATAAAAAAAGAACTTTACATGTGCTTACGGACAATCTTCTTAACTATTAAATAAACCATCCATCAAATTGGTGTTAAAATGTATAGGGGGAGCAAATCTTAGTAATTTTTAATTTGAGATTCGAATGTGGGAAAATGATTTATTGATAATAACATCGAACAGAGCAAATGGTTAGTGCCAATAAACTACTCAAAATACAATTGTAAATTAAAAGCAACAATCCAACTACCATATAAGTTTATAAAATATCATTCAATAGCTAAACAAGGAAGAGAATTGCTGATGTATCTGCTTGTCATGCTTTATTTAATTTTTAGTTATAAATTCTCTATTCTAAAGACAAATAATAAGCCCGGTGTTTATTTTTCTTTTAAATTATTGAGTTTGAAGTATTAATTTCAAAATTATAAGTTCTAAAAGATTTAAGGGTGAAATGTCCAAAATCAATGCAAAATGAGCATATTACGGATAGTACAATGGTGACAAGATTCAAAGTAAAGCAAATTCATATCCAACATGTATGCGATATTACTTGTAATTGGACGTGGACTACAGCAAAGCAAAGCAATTTTTTCAAAGACTATATAGCGGATGCTAACTAAACTCCCCAACTCACGACCGCAAAACTAAACATAAATTCATGAAAACATAGAGGTCCAAATGGAGTGAAATCAGAAAACGATAGAAGCGAAAATTCAGACTGAAATGATGAACAAAGTCAATAATACTGAACATACATAAGTTCAATAATTCACCTGACTTGGCGTTGGTGGTGGTGCTTAATTCAGAAATCGTAATCTCGATCTCTGTCCGTAGTTTCGTCCAGACTCCATGCGCATTTTCTGAGCAAAAGAGGGGCCGCATCATGCACGGAACCGCATTTCACAATTTTCCATTGACTTATTCCATCACGCTTATTTTTCTTCATATCTTCATTTCAATCTTTTCACTCGGTCGTCAGTGGCCTTTTAACTACGATTTCTTTTTGGTCAGACATTTTTAAATCTTATGGGGGCCCTTTGTTGATATAATCATGTAGGCTTATATGGGAAGAGATTCTCTACGGATCTCTTATACCAAGGCCGTCGGATCAAATGATCCGAACTTTTGAAATTTCATCCAACGGTCAAAAATTATTATAGCTTTTAAAGTATCAAAACAGGTGAGCCATTGGATGAAATTTCAAAGGTCCAGATCACTTGATCCGATGACCTTGGTGGAAGAGATCCGAAGATGATCTCTTCTCGGCTTATATAACTTGACATGCAGGGCCCGACATTGGGATAATTCAGGCTCCCAATTTGGAACAAAGTACATACTTATGAAACCGAACATGTTTCCGATTTGAAACAATTCTCAACATCCTCACAAACCGCTTTAAGTGTATCAATAATGCTTTTGAAACCACGAGCTAATATGGGGTTCCACCCGTTCACCCAAAAGAAATCATCTGGGTTCCACCCCAAAACGAGTATGAGTGACCCAATTGCTTAAAAATCTCAGATTTTTGAGAACTTTGATGCAGGACAACTCCTTAATTACATCCTCACCAAAATTACATAGAACTCATGTGATTAGAGGTAGGAAGATATGAGTTGGAAAAGCATGTTAATAATCAGTGTCAGCTCTTACGCCCCATGTTCTTAGATTATCCCCATAAGTGAAACTAACTGGATGGTCAGTATGCGAAGAGAGGTCTCCCTTATAGTTATAACACCACAAGAAGATAGGCAGAGTGGAAGGACAATTGTGCTAGGCGTTAAGGATAGAAGTGAGTTGACCTAGGCGAGCCTCATAGTCTTGATAAACTTTTAGGTTTAGTATTATCCACCATCAACATCACCAATATTTTTCCAACTTAATCACATATTATTAGGCCTCGGGTGAGCTTAGGGGTTGGCTTCATCTTTCAACCTTAGGACTAGCTTGGTCTTTTTTAATAAACAAAAGTATTTGATAAATGACTTATTGTATATTTGGTTTAGGTTCATTACTGTGAGAATGTGAGGACAATTGGTTTTATGGTGGATCTTCAACTTTCTTATTTATTAATTACTTTAAGGGTAGTCCATCTCCATGGCGCTTAAAATCTTATAATGATCCCTTATCGAACTCAACTAAGAAATCCATGATAGAGACTCCTCCTAGTAACCATCCCCGAATTCCATGGAGGTGTTCTTGTAAAGAAGGAAAAGTTCCAAACCAACTTGTATGAAGGCACCATGACTAGATAATCGGCTTATATGTCCTTGAGAGTATGTCAAGGTTCGATTGCTTTAATTAGAGTGATCACTTGTCCAGGTCAAATTTGATGCATTATTTTAGGAGTGGGCTCCAACAAAGAGTTGCATGTAACTAAGGATAAATTACATAATTTATGTTATACCATGCATTTCCCTCTTAAGTTTCTGGTTAAAAAGAGACAAAATTAAGGGATACTTTGGATGCGGTCCCTAATCCTTAACATTCTTTGATTAAAACCTTAATAGTATTCAAAGTTTGATCAAAGTCCCTTAACTTTGTACACCTCATTATATTACTATTAATATTTATATTTTTTATAGTTTTAACATTAATTGTTTGATATTTTATAATCCTATGAATTTAAAATCCCTCATTATAATAATATTAGAAACGGTTACAATAAAAAAATTCAAACATTTTGATTGAATAAATGAATAAAAACTATGCAAAAATAAGAAACAATAAATGGCAAAAGAATGTATCCATAGTGTTAAAAAAAATTGGTACATTTCACATATAACAAAGTGGTACATTAATAAAGAAGAATGGGTACATTATAAATAAATTAGGGTACATATAAAAGATTAAAAAATTATGAGTACAAATGAATTTTTAAAAAATATTTTAATACTTGGGTACAAAATAAAACTAAAAAGAAAATACTACAAATTAAAAAAAAATGTTGCAAATTAAATGTGGGTACAAACTAAAAATATAAATATATGATACAAAGTTTAGGCATAAAATATAAATATACAATATGTAATTTTTCTATCATTGATTAAATATACAATGTCACGTGAAGGTGTACACATGGGTACAAACACAAATAAAACTTTAAAAAATATGGGCACAAAAAGAAACTAATATATGGGTACAAATAAAAAATGAAAAGAAAATTGGTACAAATTAAAAAATATTTGCAAATTAAAAATAGGTACAAACTAAAAATAAAAATATATGATAAAAAATTTAGCCATAAATATAAATATACTAATTGTAACATTTTTAACACTAAAGGAATATATTTTAAAAATAAAAATATTTTATTATTCAAATAATTAATGATTTTTTAATACCAAGAACCTTGATCAAAAATTGAAAATGAATAGGATTTTAATTAATGGAGTAACAAAAAGAAGGATGTGAACCTAATTTCTCCCAAAATTAAACATGGAATCGAAGGTTACATGAAGTGATTGATATTGCACATTAGATAATTT